AACTGCTTCCCCCCCCCGCTCTCTCTCTATCCGTCCCCCTAGATTTGGGCAGGCTGATGGATTTGGTCCTCTTTACAGGATAAAATTCTGTATTTCCTCCTGGAAGGCCTCCCGAGGAGAAGGTTTCCCCCTCTACCTACCACCACCAGGATTTGGGTTTTAACTGAAATAACTCCCATTGACCCGCGTCCGGAGCCTTTGCTCCTTTTTCGCTCTCGGAGCCGCGCGGGTCTGGACGAGGAAACGCTCCCGCCGTTTCACCGCCGGCCCGAAGGCCCCATCTCTTCCGCACGGAAGAATTCGAGGATGTGCAAAACCACACCAAGAGCCACGTTCTCCGTTTCCCCTTCGCTCCCAGCGACGCTTTCCATCTTCTATGGAAAAAATAAACCTGCGTTTGACGCGCCGGCCCGAAGCCGGCAACACCCCGGTAAGCGCTTTTTTACCCTTCGTCGAGCCGCGTGGGCACGGCGATAGGCAGCGAGGAAGCAGGAGGCGGGACGGTGCAAGTAATTTGCCCCAAATGAGCAATAGCTAATGAAGCAAGTGGCTTCCAGGGACTCTCTGCTTGCCGCCAGGTTTGCCGGCGGGTTCACGCTGGGCAAAGGACGCCGCAGCCCGACCGCGCTTTGGCCTTTCCCGGTTCCCCGCTGTATAAAACGGGGGCAACTGTAAGCACGTTGCTGGAGAAACGTGCCCTCAATCTAGGCGTCTCCGATGTGCCGTTTGGAGGCTTCACCCTGATGGGGACCGGTGCATGGCCCTGGCCCGGCTACGCTCCTCCCGCGGCCCCGTTCCCGAAGGGCGGCAGCTCAGCGCCAGCCCCGAGTTAGCAGCGCAGCAGAACCGGGCGCAGGTTATCAGCGCGAGCATGACGAGCACGGAGTCGCCCTCATAAAGACCCCCTCCAGCTCCTGCCAAAACTCTCGCGGTTTCAGTGGGGAAAGGATGAAGAATTAGCTTGTGCTCAGCTCTGCGCGGCGCTGGCATCAACATCATTTAAGCATCCTTACCCACCGCACACCAGAGGTCCTCAGGAACCATCAACAGGCGTACCCTACAGAGACTTCCCACATCCTGAGAAGAACCCCTCTTTCAGGCTGTTGCACATACACACACACACACACACACACACACGCACATACACACACGCACAGAGGCAAAGTCAACTCAGCTGCTGCATAATTGCGCCCGACTCCATACTTTGTGCCGAGTCGAGCATCACTCCTTGATTGTAACCGCTTAAGGCACAGAACAATATTAAGTGTAGCCCCTCTGGAGATGCTGGCTGGTCCGTCGACTTCTTGCTACCTCCAGGAGAAGGGTTCCCTTCCCCTTCCGAATGGGGAACATCCCCCCAACTCCGTGGTCTGAGGATTATCTCCTCCACCGTGGCTGACGCCTGTGTCCATTCCTTGGCGAAAGGCAGTGGTCACCACTGAGCATCTTTCTCCTCCACTGGTCCTGGGGATGCTACCAGCATCGCTGTCGTGCTGGAGGTGACGCATCCCATTTGCCTCACTTTCCTGTGGGATAAGTAACATGGCAAGCGGGGAACCTCCCAACACCCATTGACAGCAAGGTTACTTGGTCTGAGGCCAGCACCCGCACAGATGGGGTGTCAGGGAACTCCCTCGTTATGAATCCCCGGCAGCCAGTGGTGGCCACCATCTCCAGGCTCCGATGGTCCTGAGCGCAGCTTCGAAATCAAACAGCGCAGCGGCCGCTGAGCGGACGACGAGGCAAGATGGGACCTGCAGGGCTGCCACGAGGAACAGCCCAGGGCTGAGGTCTGATCCTCAGGGTGCAAAGGGCTGTGGGTCTGGTGGCCGCCCCCTCCCACCGGCGTTTCCCCATCCCCGCTGCCAGGGGTTTAGAGCCCACAGTTGACGAAGGGGTGTCTCAGCAGGTCTTCGGCCGTGGGCCTCCGCTTCTCCTCCACAAAGATCTGCTTGAGAAAGTTGCGGCAGGAGTTCGAGACGCCGTCGGGGAGCTGGGGGTTGGTCGGCTGGGTAGCGATTTTAAAAATAGCCGCCATGGCTTCAAACTCTGCCCATGGCGGCTTTTCCGTTAACATCTCCACCACGGTACAGGCCACGCTCCTGCAACAATGCCAAGTACGCAGCGGGTGAGACAAAAGGTAAGTGATCGGCGTGGCTGCTGCATACCTGAACCACGGCACGTTTTGCTTTTGAAAGATAACTGACTTTAAGGCCTGAAGAATGCTCCTGCCTGGAAGGGACTTGGTCAACTGGTGGGGAGCGCACGTCCCCGGTATGCAAGTCCCCCTGAAGCTCACAGTTCAAATAAGCCCTCTGCACAGAGCTCTCTGCTCCCACTGGCAAGAGTAAACTGCTAAAGCTGGTTGCTTTTCTGCCTGTGCCTGCCAGGCATTTTTTTAACTCTGTGCACATGCTTTATCCTGGTTTCCCAAGGGTAGAGGCTTACCTGATCCCAGCTGGTAACCCCTTAACATCTGAGCTCATGGGCCGATTTTGCATAAGGCTGACAGATATTAAGCTTCACAAAAACATGCGACTGGGAACGAGAGAACTTATCAGAGCCTCCCTTGAAGGGAAGGCCAGGCACCAGTTTAGATACCACAGTTTGAGTAATATCACATAGTTCTCCTAGCAGCAGAGCCAGAATGACACCGGCTTGCCTTCAGATCTACTTGCAACATCATCTCCCACATGCATCAGAGAAGCAGCACACCAGATCAGAGGCAGGGAAGAGCCTGAAGGGTTTCCCTGTGCTTGCTGAGGAGTCCTGGTTTCAGCAGGGACCCTCTCAGCAGCCTCCATTTGCACTTGCTGCTAAAAAAGCCAACTACTTCCCTCCCGTCAGCTGAAGCAGGAGAAGCTGGGCCACCTGCCAAGGACTCCTCAGGCTTCCCCCACCCAGCAGGACACCCAGAGAGGGACTAGTTTTTATTGACCCTGCTGGCTTGGACGCTCAAGGGAAAGCACTTTGAGAAGATAGCACTGTTCCCATTTATTAGGAGGATTACTAGGGTTATCCCAGCTCTTTTAGGCTCCAACTGACAACGCCCACGGATCAAAATGCTCACAAGCAGCCACTAATTTTGGATGTCTTCATGTCTAAGCCACATGCAAATATCCAGCAGCAGATTTTGAGAGCCTGCCAAGATCCCACTGAGCCTCAGAGCCAGACTTAATGAATCCCCAAAAATCAGCACCACCAAAACTCGACAGCTCTTTTGGCAAACTTTGTATCAACTTGCTTTCCAGAATTAAACAGCAGCTATGGGGTTGAGCTGCATGTGGTCCTCACATATGGAAAGGCCTCCCAAAAGCAAGCTGTGATTTTGAGTGCTCCTGTTTTGGGACATTTGTTTAAGACAAACTCCCTCTGGATATCTGCGTAGTTGATCCTAACATTCAGCTCCCATTTCTATGCTTGCGCTGTTCTGCCTTCAAAATGCTAGCTGTACTTGTTGCTCCCACCGCAACTTCCCAAAGGGATCACTGATTAAAAGCAGCAGTGGTGGGGTTTTTGCTGTATTCCTTACCACACATCAGCTTTCCGTCCATAGCCTTCTCCACTGATAACCTCCGGGCTCATCCAGTATGGTGTTCCCGTGACAGATTTAATCCCAGTCCCAGACATGCAGATGGTCTGGATGCGTTTGCTGGCTCCAAAATCTCCTAGTTTCACATTTCCAGCAGAATCTCTCAAAATATTGGCACCTAGGGATGAAAGGCAAAAAAAATTCAAGAGATGAAGCAACCTGAGTCGAAGTGGCCAGCACGGAGAGCAGGAAGGGCTAAGGTGAGGAGGTGGGCACTGCACGACCCTCAAGGGCTTTGCTCAGACGGCTTCAGCGTCACATGAGAACCCTCTCTCCAAAGGCTGCCGCTCTCCGGGAGGGCTGACTCCCACCAGCCCTTCTGCACAATCTCACTCAGCAGCTTTCCCAAAGGTGAGAACTGAACAGGAGGGGAACAGTGATCCTCCCCGTGCACAAGATAAACAGAGACTCAGATCCTTCCGAGTCTTCAATTCTTGGGTTATATCAAATTTTTAGAAGTGTAGAGATCTGATGTCTATAACCACCGTTAACGATAATCCTTTTTTAGAGTACTTAATCCGGGCATCTCAAGCAGGAGGCCATCACAAGTGTTTTTGTTTCAGCTGCTTGTTCAAGATTCTCACAGCTCAAGCAACTTGTTGAAGGCAGGAGGCAAAGACAGGGCAAAAATACCTTAAATTCTGGATCCCAGCACTGTACTCTGCATGCAGGATTTCATCTGGGGCAGGGAAGCGGTTAACAAACATAGGCAAGCAGGAAGGCTCCCTGCATTAGCTACTCACCTTTAATGTCCCTGTGGACAATCATATTGCTGTGTAAGTAGAAGACTCCCTGCAGGATCTGCCTGGTGTACTTGCGGGTGACGTTCTCGGTCAGAGCACCGTAAGCTTTTAGCTGGTCCTTTATTGAACCCTGTTTCAAACAAACAGCATGCACCATCCGTAAGGACCAGCAGAACTAGCTGCATCATGGCACACTGACTTTTTAAACTTTCCTGACTGTTATGTCCCAGCTTGAAAAAAGAAAAGCTCTCCTGGAGAAATGACAAAATAAAACCCTACTAACCACTGAAAGGAGCAAGGACTTTTCCCTCATGTACCAGATGCCAGCAGAGAAAGATGTAGGGTCTCCGATGGACAGGAGCACTACCTTCTGCCAACAGTACAGATCTTTTTCCCCCTCTAGTGGCTGGACCTTACCAATGGCTAATGGAGATGGACCAAACTGATGAGGGGCTACTATCTCAACGTGAGAGGGTTCTTTGGGGGCTGAGCTGACAGTTCACTCTTCTATGAAGCCTCTCTCCCAGCGGACGAAGCAAGGCCAACTTCTTACAGCAAGGATTATCCACTGTCCTGGGGCAGGCAGACTCATGGGGGACAAGGTCACCCCTACATAGGGCTGTTTACCAGATGCCCCAGGATGGACATGGCATAGGTACCTTGGAATTCTGACCCAGGTGAGCAGGCTCCTAGTGGTTTGATTTTATTGATCAAAGAGGGAAGGAAGCAGTGGTGCAGACACCTATTCTCTGCAGGAGGCTACACCCCTTAGTTTTAGCTGTGTTTCCTGGCCACTTGGAAATGGATGTTCCTAACTACACCACAGTTGGTTCTTCACAGGGAGGAAAGGAAGCAGATTTGGGGGTCAACCACAGAGGTCAGGCACCCTGCTCCACCTCCAGCCTTCAGGTTGGCTGGAAAGCGCAGGGGAAACTCATTTTCTTCCTGCCTGTTCTGCATCTCTTGGGGCTGACCCAAGATTTGCCATAGCTCTTCTCTTCTGGGAATAGCAGGATGCTGTACTCCAAGCAACTCACTCAGACTGTCCTATTTCTTCCATATCCACCCACCTCTGCTATCGCTCTGCCCCAGCTACTATTTTGCCCTTCTTCCTGCCTTTCGAGGCTGGTGGTGATCCTTTAGAAGGCCTCTCCTTTCCTCTTCATAGTGCTGCTGGAGTAATCTGGGATTCTCAGAAATTATCCCTTCAAGCGACTTGTGTGCAGGGTATGTTCCCTCACCCACAACCCTGCAAGCGTTCTGTTCCTAGCTGTCCTCACCCCGACATCAAGAAGGGGAAACAGGACCTTTCAAGCAGACCATTCCCCAACACAAATACTAAAAATGAGGGGGAACGGGGTAGGT